CGATATGTAGAGTTACACTAAACCATATATGGTTAAACTGAATTCATATACTAACAAGACTGAATAGCACATTGAATCATATTTTACTAAAATAAATATTTATGTATTCGTAACCAATATCATGTCAATTAGTTCACGGTACATTTACAACTCAATCAATTAAGAAAATAATCCAAATATTGTGGAATACTTTGATGTTATGTGATTAGACTTACTTAAAATAGACCTGAATTTAAGTATTTTACTAGATCCCATTCAGGAGCAAAACCTTATCAGAAATCGAATCATTTGCGTGATATTCGAATTTATATCATTAAGTTTCGAACTACGGGACTGAACTATTATGTAACCAAAGTTCAACGCATCGATTTCACCGTAATATTGAGCATATACCTTACTGATGGATATTGAGAAGATTATCAGAACTATGATGTACAATATATGTAATACATTACAAACAATCCGATCACACATATACTTGCTAAAAATATTTATATAAAAAAATTAAAGGTCATCTAGACAAATGGAGGGTGTGAGGAAACGAAGTTAATAAAGAAAATAGTGTGAAAAACGATGTGAAACTCACTACACTAGATAATTAACTAGTATTGTGAGGGCAAGTTTAAGGTAAGAAAAAACTCTTTTTGAACACACAAAAGGGGGTTTGAATTTTCGTATGGCTAAGGCGTCAATAAACCTTAGTACAACCTTTGTACAACATCACAAAAACTGTGCTAAGATCAACCTTATGACCTGTTTCAACTATGTGTTTTTCAACAGGGGATGATAGATTTTTATCATCTACTCTTATTGGGTCAGTTGATTTCACTTGTATTTGCAGCCATTTAGGTATATGTTTAGACACGTTAATTTGGATATCATTACTCCTTTCTTTGTATGTATGGTCACACACACACGTGTAAATTAATAAACACAAGGGAATGTGACGCAATCGTTTTCATGTCTTTTAGGTCTTTGGTGAAGCATGGACCTTTTTTCTTCGATAATGACCTTTGCTACGTTGTACGTTTTGTTACTAACTGATTTAAACCTACATTTCAATATAAGGCTATTTCACTCACATCTGAATGGTAAGATAGTGTAGACAGGTTTTTTGTACCAAAAATGTTTTAGTTCTCGATATATTATGATCTTTCCATCGATTTATGAATCTTCAAGGATAACAATTTACTATTAATAATCAGTAGCAAAGTTTGTGCGAATACGATCAAATCTGGTAAATAGGTACCTTATCAAACGTTGTTTGTATTGAACTGCGCAATAACTATTATAACTAAGGTACTGAGCTGTCTAATTTGGCTCGTTTGAACCGTTTTATTGAATCGTCTTATCTTAAATATGTCTAAGAAAGGAAGCTGGTCGTTGTTCACCTGTTCAAATGAAAAGCTGATATGGTTTGGAAGAATGTTAAGTTTATTCAATAAACAGTTCATATCCTCCTTTCTTTCACAGATAACTATGATGTCATCCTCATATCTCGTATAAAGAGACATGTTTTCGACTGTGTTCAACCAGATTTTCAACATAAACCATAAGTACGTCAGCTAATAATGGTCCTAACGGACAACATATTGAAACCCCAACAATCTGGCGAAAGCATTCGACTTCAAATGTGAACTAAACTTTGTCAGTACAAAATGGTAACAAATCTTTAAGAATTTTTAAAGGAATAGGTAATGTACTGTTGTTCAAAGATATATAGTCATATAAAATGTCAATAGTCTTCTGTAAAGGTACATTTTTGAACAAGGAATTCACGTCAAAATACTACATTTTCTTTCCCCTGATATTAATATCATCTAAATATTCAACTGATTCAGTAGAATTTCCCAGAGAATACTTACATAGACACCTTCGGATACGACCCAACAATTCGGTTAACCATTTAGCCAAGCTGTATGCAGGTGATTGATACGTTGATAAAATTGAGTGTGAAGCAACGTTCAATTTACGAGCTTTAAGTAAACCATCTAAATAAAGATATTTAAAACTCATAGGTTTTAGAAAACCTAATTCCTCCTTGTCAATAATATTCATGTGCAGCAGTTTCACTAGGTTTGAGTTTATTCTTCGCTTTAGTTTGGTAATACCTTCAAATTCGACATCAGACATAAATTTACTTTAATCACTGAGTATCTATAATATCTCACTTTTATATTCACGCTTGTTCATGATAACATTTGATCCTTTATCACGCTTCAGCAAGACAATATCAAGGTTTGTACGTTGATCCTTAAGGAATTTAAAATTTTTGGAAGTCAATATGCTTCTCTGCTTTGGTCCGTGATTATAAAATTACTGCTCTATTTTCACCAGTTTAGCTTTACACAAACTTTGATTATCTAATGACGTAGGGATTAGCGCACTTAGGTAATCATAGAAGTCTGCAAATTTGACATTCATCTTCGATCTAAACATTCGCACTACAGGGACGGAAAAATTGAAACTAACTAAAAGTGTTTCCTTTTCATTAGTGACGTACTTATCAAGATCGACTGGAAACGAATTAACATGATTATTATTACTACAAAGTTTTTCAAGCAGTTTTTCCGTTTTCTTCTTTTGTTTTTGAAATGACAGTACTGAAAAACTGATTAATTGAATATAACAGACTATAGATATTTGTTCTAATATAGTCAATACTTGAATGTGCAATTCAATTCAATTGATCATTGTGTCTTAACAATTATTTATATGCGATTTCATCAGTTGAATAAGAGTTGAGATAATCGGTTGTAATTTACTTGAACATAAATTCTATTATAGTTAATTTGGGATTATATGACTCTACAAACAAGATTTATAAAAATTCAGTTTCACTTGTTTCGATTAAAATTTTTCACTTCAAGTTAACAAGTTCATTTATCCCTTGAATAATAAGTGTAGGGAGTTTTCTTTTGAGAAATGTAATGCAATTAGTTCTTTTGATAAATTTGGATAGTATAATAATAAAATGAAGATTATTAGAACTATGTGATTAATTAACTTCATTACCATTAGCCAAAGTCAATTGCTAAATCTTCAAATTATAACAATGTAAATAAATATTAGACACTATGGGTCAACTAAGTTTATTTTCTTGACACAACTTGGTACTAAGTATCAAATGAAATAGAAAAATTTACACTTTCTGCAGAGTTACGAATGTTAACATGTCTTACACGTAAACAATTTTTGGATCCTTATTTTAGACGAGTATTCTAACTAACCTAAATAATCATCCAAATTCCAACACGAAGTTGACTATTTTTTTATATAAATGAATGTGATATATAACAATTAAGTATAAGGTGATTTGGTTATGTAAACTAAGATGTCAAATGTTTTCTGCTAAATATGAAGCTGATAATAATTAAGTGACTGTAAATAAACTAATGATATCATTTAAGGAAGTAAATCTATGTTGAAATGAACTAGACTGATAGTTTGGAAATTTGAATGAATCAAAAACAACATTTCAGACAGCATATTTCGAATTCATTTTAATATCGTGGTTCTTCATCAACTGCTTATAACTGATAGTATTTATTATGCAATGATTGGAGAGGATTCAAGGAGTTTAAACATATCTAAGAATTAATGAAATTGGTTTATGAAAAGATAATTTTGAAGTTTCTGAAATAAATTCCATAAAAAACTTTAAACAATAATAATGATATTAGTTGGATACAATTTTAATCAAAACTATGAATTTATCATGGAAGAGGTAGACTAACAACTGCTTTTTGTTTGAACACAACTTCACTTCGAGTTGTTTACAAAAATTACTTCACAGATTGAAGTCATGAGTCAATTGAAGCTAGACCACCATGGAAAACCTGGAAACACTAAACGGCCGTTTCGTCCTAGTATTGGACTCCTCAGCTCGGTGGTCTAGTTGGTTAAGCGACTGGCGCGAGACTGATAGGTCCTGGGTTCGAATCTCGCAGGGTGCGGGATCGTGGATGCGCACTGCTGAGGAGTCCCACACTAGGACGAAACGACCGTCCAATGCTCCCAGGTTTTCTATGGTGGTCTAGCTTCAATTGACTCCTGATTCCAATCTGTGAAATTTCTAACATCTCCACAAACCCCTTCTGATAAAAATTATTTATCATAGGAATTTATTTACCAAAAGTGCTTCTTAAAAGTTTCATTTTATAATTGTTTTATTCAAGATTTTTGAGATTGTTTTCATAAGTGGTGGTAAAATCATCTCTTGGAAATATACGTGATTGATTTCAGCACAAATAGCAGCTAGTAAGATATCTGGCATTTTATCATAAACTTGTGCTTAAAACTCAATTAATATTTCACAACTGGTTCCTCATGGTTTGAGCTGCTTAAAGAAGTTGAGATTCTGTAAAATACAATCATTGAAAGTAGCTTTATCGTTTCATTGTTTCATATATATATATGCGATTATTTGGTAACTATGCTGATTTGTGGAGAAAAGTAGAATATTTCCTAACACTTTATCAGCTCTGTAAAACTATTAAATTACCGAATGGCTTTGGGCTGATTAAAATGTCTCAGGTGTACACAATCGCGAATGTTTATTTTATAAACATCAAATCATAAAGAGGCAGAGTATATACAAAATATGAATAAGTAGACTGACAGTTTAATAAATCTTACCAATACTTTGAAAACTCTATTTAAGATAAATAACTTTCATCATTTTAAATTCACTTGGTATTGTTCACTTGGTATTGTTCGAGTCCCAGAGTGAATATCAACTCTGAGATGCAGGTACATCCAGCTGACGAGTCCTAAATAAGACGAAACGCGCGTCCTGGATTCCACTGCTAGCCACTATTCATCATAGCTTTAATTTTAAAAAAACTGTCAGTAGATTGTATGAAATCTAAGTTATTTATGGATGGTTAATTCTTGAAATCATTCAATCAACAAATTTTCGTATATTACTGTAGTTTTTTTTAAAAATATAGACAAGAATATTGTTCAATAGAATAGATTTTGATTATTTCTATTTATAGATTTTCATCGAACGTAACAATGTTCAGAGTAAAAGAAGGTGACAATATAGTTTTTATATGTCCTAGTGATGTGAGAAGAAGTCAAAAATTATTTTGGGTAAGTTAAAATTTACATTTGAAAGACCACGAAATATTTCGATTTTGATTGTTTTGTAACTTAATATTTTACTTTCATATCAAATTTTAATCATCTACAGACAATTCATTGAAATGATGTCTACTATAACCTTAACAGCTACCTAAATTTTGAATATATTAATTTGTTATATGTTTTTAAAGTCACAGATAAATCAAATATACTAGTTACTTAAACCATGCATTTGTCTTTAGCAAAGATAATAAAAGCTCCTTTGCTTTGGGTACATTGAGGTAAATATAGTTGTAGAAGTTAAAATGTCGCATAGATTAGATGTGTTTAATTATGACTGTAGTTTAAAAGACGATGTGCTCTAAGGATAAAATACTTTTGTTCCATGATAAATCACAACGTAGTAATGCTTTATGTACGTAGTGAGTGAAATCCGGTTGTATGCTAATTATTCATTTTATATATTTAATAATGTACATTCACAGTCTCTCTGTTTGCATTAGTTTGGATTTATATCATTTCAGCATACATAAATTAAGTTACTTTAAATTTACTCAAATAAACTATAAATTTGAACATCGCTTTCTTATCACTTATTTCTCTTTCTTTTTTATAAGAAATTCTTGATACAAGTAAAATTCCTTCTCTTTTTCCCCTTCACAGGATGATAGAACTGACACAATAAACTCAATATAAAACACACCCTAAATTATAATATTTTCACACGTATTTTTAGAGCTTCTGAATAAAAGCTGATAGCTTTACATCATATTTTACTTTCTTACTCAAAAGTCTAAATGTTCAGTAATATTAATGATAATCAAAAATATTGAATAAAATAAGTTTATTGATATGAAAGGAAATGTTATTTTAATAAACTAAGTCTATGATACGAATAGATAGACTTCATTTTTACAGTTGACTAGTCCTTGAGAAGTGCAACAGTGTCATAGTTCTACAGTACTTTGATGCCGATGGACTTCTATCTATCATATTGAGTTGTGGTCAGTTGTCTATATGACATGGAATTATGTGAAATGTGTTAAGATATTTGGAGGATCTAAGTAATTAATCCTGGATCCGGGTTTTATGCCAGTTAGCACTCATCATCAAAGAGCATATGCAATCTGGAAGGAAATGACATTTCTTATGGGACTCGATCTTTTTATCCATTCGATCTGTTATAGCGAACTCATAAAATGTGACGAATTAAGACATTTTACATACTTCAAAACCATCAATGAAGTAACAAACAAGCTTTATCCAAAACTTTATATTTGTTTCAATGGAATGGTACTAGATATAAACTTGTTAGTTTTGAAAATGATAGTTTTCAGTGATGATTTGTATTCATCTCTTGAATTACTTCTCTTCCACTAGATAGACGGTAAAATTTGATTTTACAACATACTCTCAGTCCATTCATCATATTATGTCAATATTGATTTAAAGTGATGTATTAGGTATAAGATCAATATGTGTAACATATACTCCCAAATAGTATCAAGAAAATTTCAACCAGGCAATAAATAGAATAATTCTGTTCATGTAAATAACGACTAAGGCAATGGATATCTATTATTTGAAGATACCTTTAAGCGTTTTTTTACCGTATTATGTTATTTAGTTTTCACTTTCAGATAGCATGGTATGTTGCTTTTTCATAAAAAAACGGATTTTAGAGCTAAATCATTTAAAACAAATATTGTCTACTGTTTATTAAAGATTCAATAATTAAACGGAAGTCATCTAATCAAAAATAACTATATTTTCAATGTAACTGGATAATTTCAATGTCTTGGCTAATATTTAATAGGATCATTCACATTAGTTTTATCATTCTGAATAATGTGTATTATATTTTTCATCCTACATTGTAGACAATGAGCAAAAAAACGTACGATGATTGTGGTGCACCTAGCTCGTCTCAAACTGTGAAGCTATTGGACTGCAGTCAAAGCCCCAAAAACACAGAGTTCATTTTAAAAGTAGCACAGTTTTCAGAAATTCCTTATTCTCCACATTTTCGAGAAAACGATTTTGTTTACTTTTTGGGTAAGCTTATTTATAAGTGACATTTATTGATCTAGGTTTCTAAAAAAATGCTGATTATAACTCAGCATTTTCAAAAGTAAACTTATCATTCTTGTAAGGTATCCATGCATCATAAAGCCTAAACGGTAATTATTTCTGACAGATGCAATGATCAGAGACTCTTTGTAGTCACTCTAAGCAAGGAAGTAATAAGGTAAAAACCCTAACCAACTCTCAGTTGTAATACAAAATAATTGACATATTGTTATAGATTTAATGTATGGGTTGACAAAGAAAAACGATAAAGAAAGATTGTGTCAGATATATTGTCAGGGATAAAGTCAATCTAAATAAACTCTAAAACAGTAAATAAACGTTTCAAATAAAAAATAATACAATTGTAATATCCTAACGAGTAGAAAAATTAGATTTTCCGACATTTCGTGACTCAATGTAAACCACTTCTTCAGTGAATAAATGACCAAATCAAATTAACCCAAGTTTACATAGTATTTATTCTGATTATTTATTCTCTGACACTTGATGGAGAAACTCTGAAAAAGATGCAAACATTCACGTAACTGGGTAGCATCATAGATGAACATGGAGGATCGGATGCAGATGTATAGGCTAGGACTGGAAAAGAAAGGACAGCATTACTGCACTTCAAGAACATATGGAACTCAAAACAACTCTCACCCAATACCAAATTCATAATCTTCAATACCAATCTCAAGACAGTTCTCCTGTACAGAGCTGAAACTTGGAGAACTACTACAATCATCATCCAGAACGTACAAGTATTTATAAATAGTTTTTTGCGCAAGATACTCAATATCCTTTGGCCGGATAACATCAGCAACAGCGTACTGTGTGAGAGGACAAACCAGCTTTTAGTTAAAGAGGAAATTAGAGAAAGATGATGAAAATGGATGGGATATACATTACAGAAATCACCAAACTGCATCACAAGGCAAGCGCTAACTTGGAATCCTGAAGGGAACCAGAAAAAAGGAACGCCAAAGAACACATTACTTCAGGAAACAGAAGCAGATATGAAAAGGATGAATGGCAACTGGGAAGAACTGGAAATGATTTCCCAGGACAGAGTTGGATGGGGAGTGTTGGTGGGCGTCGAGTGATAACAGGCGTAAGAAAGTAAGTAATTTATTCTCTGAAGAATTGGCTTACACTAAGTAAAAAAATTTTTAATTAATTATACGATAATACTAGCGGCTTCTCAAGTTTACACTGATGCTTTTAATTCACAAAATAATGAAATTTTCTTGATAAACTTATTCAACTCAATAATTTCAACATCTCACTAATCATGCCCGCCTTAAAACATTTAATTATCAAACATAGAAGTGAAGAAATTAAAATTCTGACCAATAGAATATTTAAACCAGCATTATTTGAATCTAATTTTCATATCACAGATGAACGATGCATTTGAATAATATAAAACGTTTTATTATTTTTTTCATGCAATTAATTCATTATTTATAATACTAGCTATCTCAAAGATCATGAATATGTCTACTGGATAAATAAAAGTAGGAACCGATAAATGTTTACTTAACACAATTTTTGTGATAATTATTCATATAAACACTACAAAACTACTTATTATCAATAACATGGAAATTCTTCACCTTTATAGAAAATATTTCCTGTCATTTTTTACTCATAAACCTACACTTTTCAAACTGTTCTGATATATAAATGTTTTATGATAAGTAAATTCAAGAATGTGTTCTGAAATATATCTAGGAAGGTGTAATTAGATATGCTTAATCATCATATATTTCATAAGAGATACAATCAAATTTGACTAAATACTGAAATCAAAAAGAAATTGTAGATAGAACAACTATAGATAATTAGATATCTTTGTATTATATATAACTAAATAAAAATCAGATTTTATTATTTTGCAAAAATTAAAATGAATAAAATAGAAAGGGGAATGGTACCATGCTTAGCAATTGTTTACATACTTTTTTCCAAGTACTTACAGTTTCAATGGTTAAGATAATGAGTCAATTGAAGCCAGACCACCATGGGAAACCTGGAGGCACTGGACGGCCGTTTCGTCCTATTGTAGGACTCCTCAGCAGTGCACATCCACGACCTGGCCCTCTGCGAGAATTGAACCCATGAACTACCGCTTTCGCGCGCGAGCACTTAATCACTAGACCACTAGACCACCTGGGTTCGAATCTTGCGGGGGGCGAGGTCGTGGATGAGCACTACTGAGGAGTCCCACAATAGGACGAAGGGGCTGTCTAGTGCTTCCAGGTTTTCCATGGTAGTCTAGATTAATTTGTTTCATGATCTCAACTATTAAAATATGTTTTAATTAATTTATATAAAAAAGTATTTCAGATATTTTGTTAATGAATATTGCAATATATGGCAGTCCATCTTGTTTAACAGTCAAATGAATTAAAAGGGAATACTGGCTTTCGTAGCTGATTTATGTATTTCATCTTAAATACTCACAAGTTTAATAACATTTATACCATAATTATTCAGTTCTTTGAAAGCCACTTCACTGAATCTTTTGAAGTACATCATTCAGCTATATAACAAGAAACTTTAATAGGTGCTATCTCGTTATATAGTTAAAATTTTGTTGAATAGTGATATATTACTGATTATGTATCTGTTTTTCCTGTTTCAGGTCAGCATGATTTATGCTCGATTTACAATCTTCGTATTGCTGTTAAATTAGTCCCAGCTAAAAGTGTAAATAATAATCAAGGTAATCAAAGCAATATTATACATATTCTGATGTAAACAAAAGTGTACTTGAATTTCTGTAGTCCATGGACAAGTGGCTTCTTATGTTTTTGAAATATTCTTAATTAGTATCGTGTTGTATGATGTGTCATAATTTTACGATTCAAAACAATCTACCTTGTTACATAATATATAGTTTTAAATATTATCTCTCTATCTGCGGTATATTATGCTAGATTGGATACTTGAACGGTACACAAAACAGAAATCAGATCACGTTATATTAGATACATGATTCACAACCAGGAAGGTAAATGCTAGGCAATACTTCATTCAACACAATTACAACTAATCACTCAGTGAAATAGATACCTAGAGAGGAAACCACGCATCTAATAGCCATTAGACTAAGTGATTATATGTTAATGCTCAATGACCAGTCACACTTTACTCTCTCCACTACACATCACCCTGTTTCTTGCACCATTAAGGTGATTGATGATGCAGTATAATTCGACTACACAAAGAGATATTCTGATCTTCTATTATGTTTACTCTACAGTTCTCAATGCTACGTAAAATTACTCGATTCTGAGAGGAAATTAATTTTCAAGACAAACATTATTATGGACATGCGAGAATGTAGTATTTATTATTTATTTCCTAATCCCCTTTTATTTAAATGCTGAATGCAAAACTGTTTATAAGAATTAATTTTTAAAAAAGCCCATATGATTTATTCAGTAGCTAATGTGCTTCCCTTCTCATTGTATATGACCTGTGAAATCAAACGGCAAAATATTTATGCTTTAATATGTATTATCACTTATCTAACTTAACGGAAATATCAATTTAAGCACTCAGCTTTGCACTTAATTTTTCTTCTGCTTACATTTTTTAAGGGATTTATATTAATATGAAATAGTTATTGTCAGCTCATGGATTGTTAATCGTTTTATTAAAGATACAGATTACGGTATAACCAGTTGACGCTTAATATATTTCGTGTTCAAACACTTATTTCCAAAGCATTCAAACGAGACGAGCACTTCAATTAAACAATGAAAAGCATGTGAACTTTCATACGGACTCATTATCATAAAAGGCTACTAAATAATTTACAGTATTCTTTGGATGATTGTGATACTTTATAGTATTTAGATAAGCGTTTTGCTTCTTTTGTATGTCTGAGCATTAATTTAATTTTTTTGAGTTAACCAGTATATGTGATAAAAAGTCACAGTTTTTAAATTAAAATGTCTAAAAATCTTTCTGACTAAATGTGCGTAAAATAGCGTCAAATTATTCAATACTCAACAACAATTTGCTACTGCACATATAATCACATACGTATCCAAATCTGATATTCTCATCATAACAATTCAGTTTGTTTTGGAAAGAATGTACGCCTTTCGAATACAGCAACCTGCCTTGACCAAATTTTTCATCATTCTGAGATGAAGTTTGAAAGGCTTTTAAACTATGAATGAATCAACCACGTCGATTGAGGAAAAAATCACAAAGAAATTCAAATACATCCAGCCGCTTGATAATTAATCTTTCGGAATATTTACATTCTATTAAGTAATTCTTTAATACTCATGATGCTGTAAAGCATTTTTTCTAATACTGATCTGTGAATCGCTTGTTTCGAAAACGCCTTGAAGGTTTTATTCTATAGAGATTAATTTCCGATTAAAAATAACAATTCAAGCTTTTAATTAACGATTTTGGCCCTTTAAAGTGTTTCAAATGATTGTTATGTTTGAAATACATATTTTGTTTTCGTAAATTTGAAGGACTAGAGTTCATTTGTTCATCTTTAGTTGAATTTAATTATTTATTTTAACACAAAGATATTGGTACAAGGAGGCACCAATTACATATGCGCCACACAAATCTCATTTGATTTGTGTGAGGTCTGTGATACTGCCCGGATGCCCAAACCGAAGCAGGTGGTTTTCTTAGAGGGCCACACCCCGAGCCTTCGACCTGAAGGTCTGATCCACAAGGCAGTGGAGCATCGTAAGGAGATGCAGTCCCATGGTAGCCGGTGACCAACAAATGGTTCATACGTCATTTGTTCCCTCAGGATACTGGAGCCCATGTGCACCATTGGTTTGTGATCCGGTTAAAGCGCCGGACATTGGCTTTTCGTCCTCTAATTTTCGTAAACAACACCCCCGCCACGAGAAGGCAGTGAGTAGGACTTCCCTGGTAGAGGCTATATACGCGTGGCCATGTGAGAGCCTTTGGAGAGGGAGAGCGGACTCTCCCCACTCTCGGCCGTACCAGGGCATTTGGGGGCCTTTAGTTGAATTCCTTATCTGCTATCTGACAGATAGTCATATTATTAAATATATTTTTCAAATTTATTATAGATTTCTTTATTTTTTGATCTTAAACAGGGTTATCAACATCAAATCAGAAATTAAATAATTTTGTTAATGACAAAGATAATTCTCCTAATACTGTTACCTCAGATACATATAAATTAAATCCACACAGAACTGAAACATTATCAGCATGGACACGTTATAGATTTCTTCTCATTCCAGGTTCACTTGGTTTTCTTACATTGATTGGAATACAGGCTGTGATTTGTGCATTATGGCATCCAAAGAAATCAACTCAATGTAGAATATGTTGTTCATCACATATAGTAAATAAATCAAACGATACAACTAATGATACAAATGAAATATCTATAACACCTATCGAAATGTTAGAAACATCATTTACTAGAAAATCATTTGAAAATCATCAAAATCAATCTATTCAAACAAATACACTCATAACTCAATCAACTTTAAATGAACAATATAATAAAGAAAATTTTATGAATAATTCTAAACGAAATTCTGATATTGTTAACATTGTACAAGATACATATACATTAAATAAATGTATTTTAGATAAATCACCATCTACTATTCAAGTAATTACAAATAATGAAGTACCAATATTAACAATACCAACAACACAAACATCATTAACAAATAATAATTATGATGTACAGTTTTATACTTGTCCATATCCTATTGATAATAATTTAACATGTTTAGTTCCAGTGAAAGTTAATAAATCCACTGACATCTTTTCTACTGATATAGTTAATTTAGGAAGTGTTATTAATATATCTGTATAATTTATTGTATTGTATCGTTTTTTTCTTTTTTTCTTTTGTGTGTGTGTGTGTAAATGTGTGTCTTTTCATTATTTTTGTTACTTTTATGAAAAGAAAAACATTGAAAAGAAGAAAAAAAAGAAGAATTCATGTTAACTTTATTTATGTTTCCATATGAATAAGTGACTATTTTGAATCTTTTAATAAAATGATTAATAAGATTATTTATATTGAAATGATAAATGTGTATAAAATTATAATAAACTATCATTTTGATAAGAAACAGAAAAAAAGACGAAGAATCGTACGGGAATTAATTTTTAGGGAGGATTAAAGTGACCTGAATTTGTGTATGAGTATTAAAATTCTTATCAATTTATCTTTGATAATATGATGTTAAGCTATTATAATCAACTTCTTCATACTATTGTTTTCCATCAGCTCTGTGTCATAAAACATAATAACAGTTGTCGAAAGGTACTAATAGTTTACAATTGATCGATCACTAGGTGGTGATCAATATCATGTTTGCTAGGTGCTTCTTAGTACAGATCGAATCTTACAGACCAAGTTGCAATGTGGCCACCAGTTTAGGTGAATCGACATTGCGTGCACTATGTTGAGATAAGATGGTGGTTGGAGGTAGTCAACAGGAAACCCTGGACCCGGGTTTCGTGCTACTTGGCACTCATCAGTAAGGTGTACCTGTAATCTTGAGGGAACTGGTGCTCCCCGGCGGATTCGATCTCATGTCACCCAGCTTCACAGTCAGAGACATTACCACGGGCCGCGAATGACCTGAACTGAAATGCATTTACAATTGATTGATCACTGGGTGATAATCAATGCCATGTATGTCAGGTCCTTCTTAGGGCAGATCAAATCCTACCGACTTAGCAATAATTCTAGTAACATGCATCTTTTATAAAAAGGAAGTATGCTGGAGCTTTACTTTTGAAAAAAAACGATACTTAGTGATCGTTGTCGCACTTTTAAATTTAACATAGTTATCAATATCATTTCATCTTCATCAATAATGTATTAGCATTTCCGAAGCTAGTTCATTTTCAGACTATTTTCTTGAAAGAACCTCAAGCTTTATATGGCATAATTTATCCATTGGAAGTTAAAATATCTAACAGTTACATACTTATAGATATTGTGAGTTTACGATTGAATATATAACTCCAACCAAATGTAACATGGCCGAAGACTTAAGTCTAAACGCTAATTATTAAGTAACATATATCACTTATGTCTAAAATGAAAATTTATTAGAACGTCAGCATTTTGTTTCCCTAGTAATAAACTTTAGAACTCGTTATATATATAAGAGTTTTACCCTCTACCTTGATAGAATCAGTTTTATTAAACAACCTATTTTTAACTCCAAACTAGAAGTACATTTCCTACAAATTGTTTTTCAGGAAGTAATATATATGTTTTTTCTCTCCTTTTTATTAATTTAAAACATACATAAGTCAAAACTAATATCCTGACACTCAAGTTCTCGTAATACCAGTGATAATTTGTGGAACCCATAAAATGCTTGCTCATATGTTGTTTATTATATCAACATTAGCTAATAATTGTGGATAAGATAAATCAAATAAGGGTTCTAAATATTCTTCATTGTTTCTTATCTGTCTATATTTTGTTTGTTATATTAAATAGTTCAGTATTAGAATTGAAATAGTACAAAATGTCGATTCTCATCCTCCAAAAAGCTTGGTTTAATGAAGAATAAATTATTATCAGCAAAGGGTTGTTGAAATCGTTGACTTCCATCAATATCGTTAACCGATCGATGGTCCTGGGTTTGGATCGCGTGCTCGATCATGAATACGCACTTCTGAGGAGTCCTATACTAAGGTAAAAGGCCGCCCAGGGTTCAGCTTATCAATATTGGTCTAACACTGATCGACTCATGATCTCAATGAAATAACGCATTCAAGTTTAGAAATTAAATTGTTAAGTAGTTAGTTGATTAATTTTGATAATAGTTTGCTACTTGATACACATTGTCCACCATTTCTCTTTAGCTAACTATTCTTGATCATTTGAATATGCATTTACATCAAATGTGTATAACTGTGTTTCTATGAACATGATGCATGTGAGTTATGAGTTTAATAAATAACATTAAATTAACATTGTTCACAAACCCGTTTCGTCTAAAACGTAACCGGATAAGTGAAAATGTCAACTATTTCTTGTATGATAATAGTTAACGAGAACAGTTGATATTTCGAAGATGCAGGATTCAGACTGTTTTTTTTTTTGAAAAAAAATATTTAAAAAACAAACGAAACTACTTTTTTGTTTTAATGAATTGAAATATTCACTCATTTTATAGTTGGTTATCGTAACTACACCTATATCTGTATAATTATATTTCAGCTGTTGTACAAATTAGAGTATATAAACTACGAAAAAATGTAATCAGTGAATTGATACATTCGTTTGATTTAATTTTTAACTGGAGTATTCATAAAATCAAACAAAATAATTGGGCGTTGATTCATTTAACGAAATAAACACTTCCGTTGATAATTGACAATATGTTATCCTAGACATTATTTAAACTTTACTGAATTTATTCTTTGGGAGAAAATATATTTGTAAAAATATGAATGAGTGAAATAATATAATAAAATATAATAATGGAATATAAAATAATATTCTCCAATTCACCCTCTCAAATGCTTTTTCATAATTCAAGTAGTTAATGCATAGTGACAGATTCCATTCTTCGCTATCATGCTATAATTGGTGGGTGCATAACATTGGATAACGTTCATGGTGATTCCCTCCTTTGTTTTGAATTATGCTTTGATGACCCTAGATCCGTGAGATTCCTGTCCTTTAAGTCCATTCCGTTCTTCTCCGGACAGCATCACAGCAATTCCATGAGTGTATGGAGCATTTTCTTCTTCATAACCAGAATACAGTAGCATCTCTTCCCAATCTAGCCTTTGCTGTCCAGCTTGAGTTCAATGGGTTTCGCTCATTCCAAGTCATCCCGGTCTCATACATTGTCCGAACATTCCATGTACCTATATACGTTGTTGCTTTGGTTATAAAAAAGGGAATAGACTTCGTAACCTCCAAAGAATCTCGGCTTTCATCATGAGGTGTCATAATTCTTTCTTCAACTGGGAGGGCAAAGTTGTTTAATCTGGTTAGCGTGTTGTTTAGCAAGATTGTTTTTACTGGATGGGGTTGACAACTTCACGTTCATTCCTCCTACTCTACCAGGGCCTGAAGACCGGTAGTAGCCCTAGAACAGTTGCAAGAGAAGTTAATCAATACATTAGCTCTACTTTTTTTCTTGCAATTAAACTCCAGACTTTACAGATCGAACGGATAGAATTTCCACGAATATTCAAATTGACTTTATGAATCATTTGCACATTTCCTGTCACTACTGTTGTATTTAGTAATTGTCAATGAAATGATTAGCTTTTTAAATATTAAGTATCAGTACAACGGAATCATTCTATTTAAAAGTGTTCGCTTATTTATTTTAAATAAAATTTTCGATAAATCCATCTAATAACATTCTATTTATAATTGCCTAGATCGTAATTATTACTTTGGTTAAAACTAATTTATTGTTTATGAAACAGTTTGTTAGAAGACAGTAATGTTATTAACTTACATACATGTAAATGTATCAAAAATATATTTGTAAACCAAAGTTTACTACAACGTAAACAATACTACAATAACACTATCTTTTTTCCTCTTTAAATCTTATAAATTACATTTTAGATATAAATATGAAAATACCAAAGTAACTTTCACTATACAAGCTTCAATTTCCACAGGAGAATGTAATAGACATATATTCCACAGATTGGAATCATGAGTCAATTGAAGTTAGACCACCATGGAAAACCTGGAAGCACTGGACGGCCGTGTCGTCCTAGTATGGGACTCCTCAGCAGTGCGCATCCACGATTCCGCACCCCATGAGATTCGAACCCAGGACCTATCAGTCTCGCGCTAAGCGCTTGGCCAACTAGATCACTGAGCCGGCATCCAATGGTGTTAATATCTAACTTCAAAAAACATTTGTCTTCAGTGTTAATTAAGTTCCGAAATTCAATGTTTATTTATAGGATTATCAGTGATCAACTAGTTTCAAATGATTTTGATAAATATACGAAATATATACTAACATTCTATGTATTCCATTAATCACATTAAGTAAATGCAAACAAACAATGAAACGGTTTTCAATTTTACAGGAATTCAAAGAATATTTATATCACCAAATAAAAACAGTTCTGTTTTACAGATTATTAAAATAATAAAATCACGTTCCTAATTTAAATCAATAAAGAAAATATTGACTTGGTTTGTTTTTTTCTGTTTCTGTGTCTAAAGTTCGGACAATTTCGCATCATTACAAAAACATGGAAAGAAAGAAACATTCCTAAGACTAATTGGTGAACATTTTTCTATTTATTCATCGGTGTAGTGAAATGCTTTTTTTAGTTCCTTGAAATGTTTCATAACATAAGTTTATATTATTATTTTTACAGTAGTACTGTTATTCTTTCGAGACACTGACAAGTAAAATTTGTTACTAATTATGTTGGAATTTATCTACAAACTTTCTACGGTGTCTCACTAATATATTTCAAGTTGAGGATTTAATTCATAATCATTATTGATGAATTCAACAATACCTTGATGTAAAGAGGTGAAATCGTAAAAATGGTTACTCTTGTAGAAAAATGAATTGATCGAAACAGTCACTTTTTCACATGTATGTTTAGGACATAACAAGACATGTTAATCATATTCATTCCGTAAATGTCGGGGTCAGCAAAATACATTGGTACCTTTTAAAACTAGTACAACTATCTGGAAAAATCTTTATATGCATGAGCATACATCTATACATAAATTCGATTAAGTTTATGGGTAGATTTCGTTATTTATTAGGAATCAATAATATAATAGTGTCTTGTAATCAAACACCAATTATTGTGCAGTACATTTCTCTGACA